TTGGGCATTGGAATCAGTGTCCCAGGGAGGTGATGGAGTCCCTGTGTCTGGGAGTGTCCCAGAGGTGTCTGGATGTGGCCCTTGGGGACATGGATTAGGGGTGATCCTGGTGGTGCTGGGTGAGGGTGGCACTGGATGACCCTGAAGGTCTCTTTCAGCCCTGATAATTCTGGGATTCCTAACATCTGCAAGGGCTCTGTTGCCATTTCCTGAGGAGTTTGTTCTTTCTGTGAGGAGAAGATACTGTGGTTTTGGAGTAGCACGGACCTTGGGACCTCAAAACAGGAACTTCTTCGAGCTGAGCTGAAAAAAATTCAAACCCTAACTAACTCTTGAAGCAGTAGCAACCAGTCATGTGGCCCACCCAGTGGTTATGCCCCCAGAGCACCCCTCTGAACACGAGTGTCAGGATGAGGATAAGCCACTCTGGCAAGAGTGCCGAGCTTTCCATCTGTTTCCCCTCGCTCTGGAGGGATGTGGGCAACACTCCTCCTGAATATTTGAAGATAACACCACACTTCTGCTCTGAGGAGCAAAGAACTCCTTGATGATAAGATCTGTGATGACATCTCGTGGTTTCCTGCAGCGAGGGGCTGCACGTGCCTTGTGCTGCACAGGGAAGAGCTGCCACCCCGGCTGATGGAGAGCTCACTGGGTGTGACATCCCCACGGCCTCCTCCTTCCCAGTGCATCCCAGTGCATCCCAGTGCATCCCCAGGCAGGGAATCTGACCAGGACCACACCTGCAGTGGTGTTGAGCTGAGGCTGCAAAGGGGCAGCAAGGTTTTTGTCTGGACAGGAGGCGCTGACCTGGATGAGAGAGCAGGTCTCTGATTCATCAGAATGAGGGTTAATGTTGTGTTTACAAGCGAGATTGTCCTGGGAAAATCACACATGATCACAGAATCATCAAAGTCGGAAGAGACCTTCAAGATCATCCAGTCCCACCCTCACCCAGCACCACCAGAATCACCCCTAAGCCGTGTCCCCCAGGGCCACATCCAGAGGCTGAGGAGATGCAGAAGATCATTTTTACAGACTCCAGGAGAATAATTTGTGGGGTAGGAGTGAGTGAGCCGAGTTCTAAAAACCCGGCCCAAACAAAACTCGAGCAGAGCAGCAGCAGCTCTGCTCCTTAACCCTTAACCCTGCCACTTGTTTGCCCCATGAGCTGCTCGAGGTAATTCTTTATCGTGTTTTGTGTTGCAGCAGGTACAGAAAATTCGGATGACGCAAAAGGGAGGGTGTGTTTGTCTTGGAAAGAGCTGAGGTAAATACCACGTTTAACATCACAGTGAAAATAAACTAAAAAAAAAGGGTGCACTGCCCTTTTAAGTGAAGAGCACTGTTGCCGAAATATGGCTGGGAATTCCCTGAAAGGTTGGAGTGAGGTGTGAGTTGGGCTCTTCTGTCATGTCCCAAGGGAAAGGATGAAAGGAAATGGCCTGAAGTTGTGACAGAGGAGGTTCAGATCAGATATTGGGAAAAATGTTTTCCCTGCAGGAGTGGTCAGGCCTTGCAATAAGTGTCCCAGGGAGGTGGTGGAGTCCCTGTGTCTGGGAGTGCTCCAGAGGTGTCTGGATGTGTCCCCTGGGGACATGGATTGGGGGTGATCCTGGTGGTGCTGGGTGAGGGTGGGACTGGATGATCCTGGAGGTCTCTCCCAACCTCGGTGATTCTGGGATTTTGGGATACCCAACCCCCTTCTGAGGGTTTCAAAACCTGGGCACACGGAAGGGTTCAAGGGAGGGGAGTCTCCTTTGGGGTTGGGGTTCACACTCTCGCTCTGGAACCCCTGAGGCTGAAGGCAGAGGGAGAAACCAGCCAGGTTTACCCTCCCTTAGTTGGGAAGGAATTGTGGCAGCTCAGGAACAAAAGCTGGGAGCACAAAAGCCAAGACCTGCTCTGCAAACCCGGCACAGGTGGCTGGAAATAATACTGGGCAAATACCCCCAGTCCCTGCCGAAAGTCCCTTTGTAGGAACATTTGCTGTGGGTGGTTCACACAGCTTGGCAAACAACCTGCCCTGGGACAAAAGAAAAAGGCTTCCCAGGAGCCACTGGGCACTAACGAACCTCCGGGATAAAGTTATCGCCGGGACTTTTCCTGCCCTTGTGACCTTTAACTCCCTTCTCCGTTTCCATCTCCTGCTTGAGGGACTTCAGCCTTCAAAGGTGAGGAAGTTTTTGGCCAGCAGACCCATTGGAAACCCCTCAATATGATTCCCCTTGTCCCCCAAAGTGCATTTTGAGAGGGAAGAAGAGTCCAGTTGACCAGGTGTCTGCTGAGCTCCCTGATTCTTCTCCAGGGATGTGGCTAAACTTTTAATATTTTAATGTTTTATATCTCAATTTCCCTCTGTAAAAACTGGAAAACTCCTCTGGTGTTATCCCCCAAGGAGTGTAGAATTACCCATAGACAGATAGATATGCACTGTGGATACATATTTCTGTAGGTAGGTAGGTTTTATTCAAATAGGGAATTCACATTTTTGAAAAAAAAAACATTTAAAATAAAAAATAATTAATATTTAGTGACATGATCTATTGAGTGGCCTGGGAAAAGATTTCTGTAATGAGAAAATCTGGCCTTCAGACCCTCCAGGGATGGGTGAGTGAAGAGAGGGAATTCCTTCCTTAGAGAAGGAATTACCTGTTGCATTTTTCAATAAAAATGGGGCCACGGCCTATTTTTTAGATAATTGTTTCTTTCCCTGTTCAAGGCCAGCCTTGAGTGACCAGGTCTGGGGTTTTGCTGTGGGTCTGTCCAATGTATGAAACACTTGAAAATGTTTAATTCTTAGAATCATAGAACGGTTTGGGTTGGAAGGGACCTTAAAGATCATCGTGTTCCACCCCCTGCCATGGGCAGGGACACCTTCCACCAGCCCAGGTTGCTCCAAGACCCATCCAACCTGGCCTGGGACACTCCCAGGGATGGGAAGTCCACAGCCTCTCTGGGCAACTTAAGATCTTCAGGAAGAGAATTGTTTGCTCCTTCATTTTGAGAAGCCTTCCAGCAATTTTTTTTAGCCCTCAGAGTTCAGACAAAAGACTCCCCACCCCTGAATAATCCCAGAACCATCAAGGCTGGCAGAGACCTCCAGGATCATCCAGTGCCACCCTCACCCAGCACCACCAGGATCACCCCCAATCCATGTCCCCAAGGGCCACATCCAGACACCTCTGGGACACTCCCAGACACAGGGACTCCACCACCTCCCTGAGACACTTATTCCAAGGCCTGACCACTCCTGCAGGGAAAACATTTTTCCTGACCTCCCATCTGAACCTCCCTGATTTCGTGGCCTCTTTAGGACAAACAAAATGCAGGGAAACGATCTGAAATTCTTTTTAGTAAAGACACAACGGATGTTTCAGAACATTTCAATCTGACAAACATCTCATCCTGCCCTTTGAAGGTGCCATCCATGCTCTGGGTGCCTCCTGCTCCCAGCAGCACCACGCAGGGATGTTCCCACAGGATGTTCTTGCCTTTGCAATGACTTTATTACTCATCTGCCAACCAGCCAGAGCTCTGTGCTCACAGATGTGAAAAGCAAGGGGGTTTTAATAGGATAAATACAGCTCCTCTGGGGATAATTCCATCCCTGTCAGCTCAAGCAGAGAGATGCTCTTGCTCCTGTTTTTAGGGGAAGGAAAACAGGCTCCTCAAGCCTTTTCCCCCAAAGCACTTGGGACCACAGGGCTCTTCTCCTCTAACTGATTAATATTTAAAGGTTCTTTTGAGAACATAATCACAGAAGCAAAAGCAGAGCTCCAAACACCGTGGATCTCACTTCTGTGAAGAGTTTCCTGCTTGGTTCCAGTCTGGGATGAGCCCCAAGAACTTCAGGATCTCCACAGGGTCCCAGGAAGATGCTGACCCCCCCCTGCACTCCTTAGTGGAATAAAACCCCACCAACAGAGCAAGAAACAGTTCTACCTCCACAGAATTGTGATTTTTTTTCCCCCCTAATTTAATTACTAATAATACACTGTATAGCTTTAATTTATTGATTAATTAGAGCTCAGGAGTTTGTACTTAGCATTGATATTTATATCAGTTAGGAAAGCCCTAGAACCTGATAGTTTATCTTTCTCTTGCAGCATTATACCTCTGGGACTGCTGGAAATGCTCACCCTGATAAACCTTCCCCATAAAAGAAACCTCCCAGGAGCTCTCAGGTGGGCACCAGTGGGATTTTTGAGACACCTGCTGGCAGATGGTCCCTTTTCCTTGGAGGTCAGCTGGGCACGGGCTCTGCTGCCCCATC